GCAAGCAATTCTTTGCTTCTAATCTCATCGATGTATATAAAATAACCAAAAAATTTATTTCGAATATGCTATATAGTGGAGATTATAACTTTACAAAATGACTTAACACATTATACCAAAAATTTAAAGAAAAAAAAACTTACTAAATGCGATATGAAATTTTTAATTCTATAAGCGGGTTTTTTAGCCCACATGAACAGAATTTAGTAGAATTGTCCAATTACCATTTAGTTTTATACTCACATTTCTTTCAAGATTCAAACGCCAGATCCTTATTGTCCTCGTCCACCACCGTCCCCGAATCTCTCCTGTTTCTCCCCGCCCTGCTCTCTCTAACTGATTTTGTTTTCAAAAATCCTCTGCGTGACCACAGAGATTTTTTTATCTCTTTTACAGAGTGAGAAAATATTTTTATTTTTCGAATATATTCGAAAATAAAAATTAAAAAAATTATTCTTTGGGAATAAAATAATTTAAATTAATAATTAAAAAATAAAAATGTATAGAGACGATTCTTCGAAAAATATTTAATGTAGTATTCTCTTTTATAATTCTATTATTTTCTTTGAAATATATAATTTTTCTAAAATATATTTAATTTATTAAATATTTTTATTGAAAATTCAATGTGATAATCAAAAAGAAATTCTTGCTGAATTTAACCTTTCACTATATATATACACGGGAAGGGAATGAACTATTGTACATATAAATTTATTTAGGGTACATATTTACATTATGTACATCATTACTGCTGTGGGCCTCAGAGTTCAATAAGTCCAGAGCTTGTCCAGGTCCTCCATCTAGACAACAAAGACTCGGCAAGGTACTGTAAATATATTATGTAAGATGTTTACATCATTGTTGGGTTCGTTTGGTGAAAAATGGCCCAACAGATTCAGAATTAGAAAGAGTTGATGTATCCATGAAATATTTTTTAAAATTAATAGCAAACGATAGTTTTTGGAGAGCTAGGAATAAAGAGCAAAAAAAGAATATGTGAACAAAGCCAAAGGAAATAAATCTATCTGAATCAGAAACCTAAAAAATATAGGCGAGCTGTCACTCGCGGCCTGCCAAAAGGGTTACTAATCACTCGCGCTAGGTGTAAACCACCCAGCTTATCTGATTACGAAAAAGTTAAATGTATATTTTGAAATTCATTAGGCTAATCTATGCTTCGTCCTCGTGTTTGTTGGTTGACGTTAATCAGCAAGAAGTATTTGAAAGTTAAAAAATAAAGTCTTTATTTCTTTTTGGCTAACATCAGACATAATCTATATTATATCAGACATAAGTTTACATGTGATATATTACAATAAGTCAAAAGGCAACCGCACAGAGTACTATCAGTGATAATAATGTGCTCACTGATAATTTACTATATACTAGACACTCAAGTTGCTATATTTATTAATTACAGTTTATTTTTACAGTTTAGTTTCTTACTGGGTGTAATACACTCAGCGCGAGTAATTAAGGGTTAAAAAGTTATAGCAAAGGTGGGCAATAAAAAGGAACAAGAAGCAACGATAATATAAACGCTTACAAAAGAGTTGCGAATTTATTTTGTTTCACTATTCTGCTTCAATTTTGTTTATATAATTTGCGCACAAATGTTCAGGTTCTGTGTCAGCTCTAGAAGCCTTGGATAGCCCAATTTACTGTCGTTTATGCCTTTTTAAAGTGTTCTAGTTGTAATGAAAACTTTAATTATAAAGCTATGTCTACTTCTAAAATTGTACATGATAATGATATTGAGTTAATAAAAGATATTCCGCGATTTTGAAACTACTTTTATTTTTCAACTTTACTATAAGATTATATATTTAAAATGTTTATATATATATAAATTTCGTACCTCGACGTTTCAGGGGGCACCAGGGCCTTGAGGGAAGCCAAGAACAACCAGAGGAAGGCCCAGCGTCAGGCCTGGAGGCGCGGGGAAGTGGTAGCCAAGTTAGCGGTCACCGTGAACGCCTTTAGATGACAACAGACCTAATATTGAGCATGCCTGTCAGAAATCAATCCTCTTCCTTCAGCGAACCACCCCTTTTTATCAGGTATCTAGGGATTGCTTCTGATTGGTCTCAATACACTATTTAAATTATAATTCTCTGGTAATTAGATTATCATCTGTAAATTTCAGAGTTGGTGAGGATGGAAGAATTCAACTAGAACATTTTCAGATTAACAACATTTTCTCCGCACTTGGTAAAAAAAGGTAATAGGATGTGATGGTTTGAGTTCACCATCTAAACATATAGGAATGTGGGTAACACCCTGTCATAATAAACCTTGATGCATTATAGAAATTTGAGATATTGCATAAATTCATGAATGATGATATTATCCAAACACCTTTCTGAGAAATTTCTTTTTAATGATCGAGTGTTTTTTTTTTTATCCCCAAACATTTTTTTAAATTAAATTTTTTCCATATTATTATTCAAAAATTACTACTGATTCAAAATGTACATAGCTCATCTTGTCATTCCAAAACATTACAGACTGGCTATATAGCCACTAATATGTGAACAATACATCAAAAATGATAAAGCTCAATTTGAATTGAAAGATCACTTAATCAAACAAAATCTCAATTAAAGCCCTCTGGTCACCTTGATGAAGGCCTTGAAGGTGTTCTTCTTAGCCATGCGATGCGCCGCGCGCACGACCTTGCCACCAGGAAGTTGGCTGAAAGCTGGAGTGGGCAGGAAAGTCAATGTTGGAGTTGGTGGTATCCTTGCTCACCCTGAAAAGGCAGATCCGCGGCAATATTTCCTTCTGCTGGCGGACCTTTATGGCTTCCAGCTTGTTGGCTAGGTACTGATGAAATCGAGAGCATTTCATATATTTTTTTAGGTATAATGGAAGAAGAAAATTATAAACATAATTATGCCCTGCTTTGGGCGTCATTTTTTTTTTTTTTATCGTGAAGATTTTATACTTTTACTAACTATTTCCAGATCTCTACATGTCCAAATATTAGGGCGCCAGTGGCTGCAGAAAAGCAGACCACAAATTTATTCATCTATGGCACATGTAGAGACCTAAAGCTGTGCCGGCTAGCAATTAATGTTAAAAGGGAAATTAACCAATCAATTTTTTGGTTAGACAAATTTTTATTTAGACTAATAAAATCTTTCAATGTACATCACGCAGATATATATAAGATTCCATGGAAAAGGATAAAAAAACTATATAAGTTTAAAATTGGGAGGGGTTTAATATACATATAAATGTAAACACACAAAAAGGCCTATTATGCCATCATCCCCAGATTATCCCCACCTACCTTCAGCCACCCATGTCCATGATTTGAAAAAAAGGGGCAGCCAAGGCCGCAGCCAGCGGCCTCCGTCCTCCGCAACTCCAAGTCTTTTTTGCTTCTCAGGAAAAAAAATCAAATTTTTGTTAAGAAAAAAAATGTAAAATTCCGAATGTCAATATCAAAAAAATGTAAAAAAAAATGTCCAAGAATGTAAATATCCCGCTTCCTTGTCCCAGTGTTGCTGAACTCACCCCCCAAGGCTATCATCCCTCTTTCTCTATGAAAATAAAAAATAAAAATGGCATCTTAAAAAAATGATAAAAAATAAATAAAATATAAAATTATTAAAGAAATATATTCACAAAAAAAAATAAAAAATACAAAATTATTGAATTAAAAATAATTTTAAAATATAAATATTATTGTTGATTCTGGGCATCTTGGGGTCAGCTTGGGAAAGGTTCAGGGCTCGTGGTGGAGCTGGTGCTCTGCATGAAGATGGTGGAGTCAGGTCAAGCACCATAGGTCGGTGGCTTGACTACAGGGAAGGGGTGTCTGAGTCCATCTTGGACTGGCTTGTGGTCAAGTCAGCCACCATCGGACATGTGGCTCGACCACCAGGAAGGGGTGTCTGAGTCCATCTCAGACTAGCTTGATGTTGGTGGGGCCAGGTCATCCACCACAGGTCAGGTGACTTGACCACCAGGAAGGGGTGTCTGAGTCCATCTCAGACTAGCTTGGTGTTGGTGGGGCCATGTCATCCACCACAGGTCAGGTGGCTTGACTACAGGAAGGGGATCTCGGTCTCTGGCTTGGTGCTGCCAAGGCTAAAGGTGGCTTCAGGCTCCATCTCGACATCTCGCAATCACCAGAGGTTTGTGGCTTAGATGGACATAGGTGGGATATGGTTAGGTTAGGTGGGGTTCTGGGTTACTTTGGCATATTATGGTCACGAGGTGTCCCAACAATCCTCCCTGCCAAAAAATTAATTTTACAAAATAAAAAGGAAAATTAATTTCCAACACCGAGTGAGGAAACTTAATAAAAAAAATAATAAAAAAATTACATAAAAGAAAATATTTACTACAAAAAATAGTATATCTATACTCAAATATTAATTAATCACTCAAATCCACCCTGGGTGCTAGGGTGAAGTGATGAATGTACATTGAAAAAAAAAACTCAAAAATTCTAAAATCATAGATCTACAAATTTTAAAAATATTATGGTATACATGTATGCAAATGCAATTCATTTTCTTTTTCAAATAATAACAATTATCCAATATATGCATTTTTCATAATGTAACAGCCAAAAAAAAATCCTAAAATACATAAAGGTATCAGGGGGGAAAAGACAAATTTTAAATCTAATGCGCTTCTTTCTACTAATATTTAAAAGGGTAATTCAAATTAGTAATTTAAAACACTTTGATCCCACACACAACTCATTCTGGTAAAACTAATTGAATCTTTGATTAAAAATTGAACTGAAACCTTTTACATGGTTAGACTAGTTGTCTACCTAAACTATTCGGTACATTGACCTCGCATGGCCACACATAACTGAAAACATCCTTTGTTAAAAAAAAATCCTGCTTCACAAAAATATTAAACCAAACCTATAGCTTAAAACACACATAAAAATTACCCTACTTTTTTTATAATAAACTTTTTTTTTTTAATTCTTTCGAACCGGTATTCAAGGTTCAAGACCAAATCTAAAATCACAAACTGACACTCAGGTACTTGTTAGTTTACATGTGATTATGCCATTTGTCCTCTAGCTGCCCAAAGCTAGAGCTTCTCACACCTTCGGGACTTTCAGGCGGAGGACAAAGACCTTCACATGGTCTCAACACAACCGCTGCTCCCAGAGCAGTCAGAAGAAAAGGAATCATGGGACTCTCTCCCTTGACATCCAGTGTGTGCTCCCAGAGCACATGACAAATGACATTTCCCACAACCATGCGAGTGCTTTCTTCACAGAAAGAGAAACTTAGCTGGAGAGCCTATATCTCATCCAGGGTAAAAAAATCCAGTTAAAAAAATAGATAAGTTTGAACCTAACATATATAAACAAAGAAAAAAATTGAAATCAAATTTATACCTCCACATGAAGTGAAGAAACTCTGCCTAAGCAGACATATCAGATTGTCAGTGAGTTTACAGATCCCTGATGGTAGATCAAACTATTAAGGTCCTAACACATTTTGTATAAAGTTACAAGATCCTATCCTACCAATATTTTAATTTGTCCAGGTCTAACATACTGCTGGCTTGAAGTTTGATATCTCGTTCACTACCCTTCATTCATACAAAAAAAAATAAAAACATTTGTGGGTGCATTTAAACTAAACTTGAAATCAAAAGCACTGCCTGAACATTAAACAAACAAAACAACTATTCAAAAACTAAATTCAGGGAGATAAGCACAAGTGCTCTATACCAAAGAAAATCTAGTTATGGTCCACCTCCATAAACTCACAAAAGAAAATAAACTTTAATAATTACCACCAATTTGGTCATTCGGTACCCAAAATAGTAATCTAACATTAAAAAAAAAGTGTGCAAGGTTCATAAAAAAATATAGAAATCCTATCTTCAAATATTCATCAAATCCTATCTATTTAACCTAAAAAAAATATTATCATTTACTGTAAAAGCTATCTAGAGGGCCTGTATCCCATCCGTCCTGTGTTTACAATAAGCGACAAAGAGAAAACAACAAAAAAAGGAAAAATCCTCAAATTAGACCATATTATAAATCCTTGAATCCTATTAAAAAAACTACTACACTGACTATCCAACTAATTCAACATTGCTTCATAAAGATTGCTCACAGTGATGGATACCAAGAGAGCCTAAATATCGTCTTTTAGGTGCTTCACTGTCCGAGACACAAAATCTTAACTCCTAGTTGAAGAAATGGATATCTCTTTAATCATAAACGTAGGTCTTAAATCTATACTAAAATAAAAGTTTATAAAATTACTAAAAACAAAGGCTGAGTTTAAAAAAAAAGGATGCACAAATGCTCTTACATTTTGATAAATTTACACACAAAAAAAAGTTCAAAAAATCTAGAAATTGCCCTAAAAAAATTAAATATGAAAACCTTTTACTCTAAATTTAACTTTTTCATACCATGTAAATATTTCCTTTATACTATGAAAAGCTTAATCATGTAGGTCAAGAATGTACCCCTAAGGGCAGACCATTGGCATTCTAACACTTCTATAAGTGAAAATCATTATTAACCAAAAAGAATGTCAAGAAATGTATTTTTTTCATACACTCATATACAATATTCCTGAAATACCTTATTAAGATAATAATAATTATAGCTTTTGTTATTTCAAACACTTAAAAAGAAAACATGCCTTTTTATTCAATAAATTGCCTTAGAAAATTGTTTCAAACAATAAAGATGAAAAAAAAAGACATTTAGGCCTAAAAATAAATAAGCTTCTAATTGGTTTAAACTATCAACTGGTTTATAAATAAAGGTAAACTTAATGAAATGTATTTCATGAATTAAAATATTAAATCTGGGTATATGTAACCATATAATAGGAAAACCTCCCTGCCAATTTCTTACATAATGGTAAGTCATTTGAAATTGACATCTGTTATATGTTTATTATGACACTGTGTCATAGTTTCCGTATAAAATAAATTAAAAATTATTAACATCATATTTTCTTCTAAGTAAATATATTTTAAAACATCTAAATGTTACAAACAGAAAAGAATTTAAATAAAATATTGTATATAATAAATGTATGTCATAATTTGTATAATTAGATGCCAACCTAATCCAAATATGTATGAAATGTATGATTTGTGTCAATAAAAAGAACAAAGGTAACAAACAACTGGAGGATAGAAAGGACTAGAAAACAAGGCTTAGAAAACCTGGGAGAAAGAGTTGGGTCAAGGCCAAGGTAGACGGTTGGATGTTGCAACATAGCAGACGGCCGTTAAAAAGTCTGTTAGAAGGTTCGTTAGGGGGCAGTCATCGAGTCGCTCCCATCGAGATAACACCTAGGGTTGTTCGTTCGCTCCCACCGAGTTCGGACCTAGTCTTCGACTCGCTCCCACCGAGATAGCACCAAAAGTCAATCACCGCCATGTGATCAGATAGTTAATAGTCAAAATCCGCTCCATCTTCTCAAAAGCCTTTCTTTCCTCCGACCAGTTGCCTTTTATTTTCAAAAACCTTATCACGTGTCCTGGTTATTCCCCACTGTATGCTTCACTTTCCACTCAAACGACTGCGCTTCAAACAATCTACACCATTCTCATCCAACAACAAGAAATTCCGCAACCAGATTGCGACAGGCGGATTAAGTCGACAGGATAAAGAGATGGAGAATAGCCAAGATTCTATCAAAAAGGACGAACCAACGAAAGAAAGGGGAGAAGAAAGCAGCAGACAGGAAATGACCAGCAGGCAGGAAGCGGGCCCTCTAGCGGATGTCATTCAGCAGTTCACCGCCGCGCTGTCCCAGGGTAGGTCATGCGACCCTCCAGGACCGACCATCTCGCTTTTTGATGGAACATACAGCGCGATCCAGTTTTTCCAAGCATTCGACCGGAAAATGGAAGACGCCACCATAGAAGAAAAGGAAAGACTGCTCCGTCTACCAAACTACCTGGCGCGACAACCCCTGGAGCTTTTCAGGAAACTTCGGCTGGCCGACCGGAGCTATTTCCAGGTGAGACAAATCCTCTTAGATCTCTACCCTGAGTCAAGCGAAGCGTCCTTTGCGAAATATTTTGCCATGAAACTTACTGGACAAGCAACCTAGAGACCTACTACCGGGAGAAAACCGCCATGGGACTGCAACTAGGACTCCCGCAGGAGGTGATCCTCGAGACGCTGACAGAAGGGTTGCCATTCTCCGACCAGCGCTTAGTCCGTGTAGTGCCTCCCGAGAACCTAGGAGAGTGGTTCCGACTGGTACAGCGGATCCACGGGCCCAGTGTACCGACAACACGACACCGAGAGGATCAACCGCCCACGATGTCGGGTCCATACCACAGCCCACCCCGACGCCCAGGTGCCTGGAATGCACCTCTCCCACCGTCCAACTGTAAGTTCTGCGGCGCGAGACACTGGCACAGCGAATGCCGACATCGACCAGTCCCGGCGACCGACGAAAAAGAGCGGACAGTGCAATCAGTCCCAAGCTATCAAAGTGCCCGGACAGTGCAAACAGTCCCAAAGCAACCAGTCCCGAGTCCCCAGCAACCAAGTCAAGCCAGAGACACCCCAGCCGAGCAGACTTTCGAGACTGAGGTAGGATCCCTAACCCAACTGACTGTCAAACTTTTCCTAGCCCCTAATATACCATGCCCCTTTTTAATTGATACAGGCGCCAGCCTGAATATAGTGCCATATAATCTCTACCATATGTTAAAAACTCACCTGCCTAAATTAACCCTTAAGAGACATTCACTGGACCTCCAAACCCTAGATGGTTTTGCAAAAACAATGGGTAAACTGTCTATCCCTCTGGCAATAGGACAAATATCCCGAAGAGAGAATTTCCATGTAGTGAATGCACCGCTACCATTTGGAATTCTTAGCATTAATAGTCTCCACAAATTCAAATTGGCAATAGATTTTAATAAATGCACTATATTCCAGCTGGGCGCCCCATTATCTACCCTTGCCTACCATTTTAACCATGTACCGAATGTATGCACGTACTGGCAGTGTCAGGCGATGTCACAAAGAATTTACCCTGCATCCCAACCTTCCGCCTATGACAACCATTGCGCGCATTCATTGAAAAACACCCCCTCATCTACATGCCCTTATTTCACTAAGGCCAATTGCCCTTTTTATATGCCCTCAAATAACAAAACCACAACGGCTTCAACTTGTAAAAAACCTGCCCAAAACATGTCTATACAGCAGGACAACTTACATGTCGAGCACATAGGTGATCATACGCCGTCACACAACTATCACATGACAAACCCACACAACGAACTCGACACTCACACTAAGACCCAACAAAATCCTTTACCACATGCATACTACAACACAACACCTGACACTCGCTATACACCCAAGTTCACAACACTGTTACAAAGGTACAATCACATCTTCACACAGAACAAATTCAATGTACCATGCTTAAGGATTCCACCCGTAAAAATACCCACGAATTCCGACAAAATAATTACCATACGGCCATATCGTGTTCCGATATGTGACCAACAAGAAATCCGTAATCAAGTCCAACAAATGCTAGAGAATGGAATTATAGAGCAATCTTTTTCACCTTTCTCGAGCCCTGTCACCCTCGTCACTAAGCGCGACAAGACCAAACGGTTTTGTATCGATTATAGAAAGGTGAACGAGCTAATTAGCTCTGATGTCCATCCCCTCCCGAGAATCGAGGATATTCTCGACCGCCTCGCACAGGCCAAGTATTTCTCCACGGCCGACATATCCTCTGCGTATTGGCAGGTCCCAATACACCCCGATTCTCGACCACTGTTAGCATTTGCCACCCTCGAAGGGTTATACCAACCCACTCGATTACCTTTCGGATTAAAAACCAGCCCTCAGATCTACGAACGAGCCATGAGCCAGGTCCTACAGAGACACGGACTTGACTGTGTGGCACATTATTTTGATGATTTCATCATTTACTCCAACACATTGGAGGAACATCAAAACCACCTGCGACAATTTTTCGCCTTTTGCGAAGCAGAGAAGCTACAACTTAACTTCGCGAAATGCGAATTTTTTAAGCAGTCCATAGATTTCCTAGGCTACACCATCACAGCTGGTACAACTACACCGCTCACACGCAACACCGACATTATTCACGCCATTAAACAGCCACACAACCGAAAACACTACAATCCTTTTTAGGCGCTGTGAACGTCTATAACAAATTCATTCCGGAGTACGCTCGCTTGCGAGCACCTCTCAACAACCTTCTCAAAAAGGATGTCGTGTGGATCTGGAATGAAGCTTGTCAAAAGGCGTTCATTGACCTGAAAGGGAACCTCACACAACACCCCATTTTACACCTTTACAAAGAGGGCCTGCCATGCCAAGTGTATTGCGATGCATCCACCCTCGGTATAGCAGGCATTCTCAAACAGGTTCACCCTGACGGGAACGTATATCCAGTTCAGTTTTTCAGCCGAACACTGCGCCCACACGAGAAAAACTACTCCATCTCTGAACTTGAGTGCTTAGCAATCGTTGAGAGTGTGGAGAAGTTTCGCATCTATCTGATGGGCAGAAAGTTTACTATATTTTCTGACCATCACGCATTGCAGTGGCTGAAGACCATCAAAAACCCGTCCGACAGATTGTTTCGATGGAGTTTACGACTATCGAGTTACGAATATGAGGTCCGCTACATAAAGGGAAAACAACAGTATGAGGCAGATCTCTTGTCCCGTAACCCGTTTTGTGGATTCTTGGACGCGTCCCTTATCAAGACACACCAACCTCCTCCATCGAGAGAGTCTAACCTGACCATTGATCGTAATGGATTACATACAGTTTCCCGAAAAGGTGTAACCAAGATTATAATTCCAAAACCACTCATACAACAACTCTTACAAACAGTACACAAACAATACAATCACCCCGGTATTTCACAAATGTCACGACTCATATCCACGCAATATTACTGGCAAGGTATGTCAAAAGATATTAAACAAAAGGTTAAGACCTGCCCCACCTGCCAATTAACAAAACGTCCATTGGGACCCACTTACGGGAAATTAAATCAACCTCCGGAAGCCAAAGAACCTTTCGACCTGTTATCCCTAGACACCATAGCAGGATTTGCCAAATATGGCAACACCAAAATATACCTCCATGTTGTAGTCGACCATTTTTCGCGCTACGCGTGGACTTTTCCAACTAAATCCACCAGCATCATCACCTACCAACAGGTACTTAAGCGAGTATTACAGGATGGTTCTCCGAAAAGCCTCCTCACGGATAGAGCCCCTGCCTTCACTTCGCCAAAATTTCGTAGTTTCCTACTTAATAGAAACATCCACCCACTACTCACAACCAGCAACAATCCACAAGCCAACGGTCTATGTGAACGTCTGAACGCCACCCTCACGGGAAAACTTAGGCTGTTACATTTAGAAAATCCTAAGATCGCATGGACCAAGTTGGTCAAAAGAGTTACAGTCATATATAACAAAACCCCACACTCTACCACAGGTTTTCCACCCATATACCTAATGTTTGGTATCCTACCCCCAGAACTCTCTGACCATAGCACACCTTACCCAGAGATCGACAAAGCTAGAAAGATTGCACACACACGCACACAAAACAAGCATTTACAAGACAAAAACATTTATGATCAACGACACAAACAACCACATTTCGAAGTAGGTGATCTAGTGTTAGTTAAATTATATCACCACCCCAATACAGGGAAACTCGCGCCATATTTCACAGGACCCCACACAGTATTAGAAATTATTTCACCGAATGTGGTCCGTATAGATCGACCAAATCGACCTCTTCAAAGAGACACTGATACGATCCACGTCAACAAGCTTAAACTGTATACAGAAACAGTCCGTTATATATCACCGCCCGCCGTTAGCATATGTCATATAAAGCACAAACCCGATTACACGTTCCCTTTTAAGCATTTAACACCCGAATTATTCCCAGCAGAGCCATTAAGGTTCAAACCCACCAACAGCGAGCCTTTCAGGCATTTAGACCCTGCCATTTTTGCAACAAGGCGTTTTACGCCATTCTTCCCCGATGTTAAGAACTGCGAACCTGACAATCATTTCAATCCTATCATTCTGTCCCAAAAAAGATACACGCCACTCCCCAACGATAACAAACAGTGCGAAATTGAACGATCAACAATGAATAAGGTTCGAACAAATATTTCAGAGTCGCCATTTACAACAATATGGAAGAACATGTATCGATACCCTATCTTTCATCTGATTTTCATCCTTTGTTTGCTAGTCCTACCCTACAAATGTATCCCAGTTTTATTTCTTAGTTATTTGTTAATCTATATCATGCCCCCTCATAGAATTTTCGAGCTGCAAGAGGCAGTTTTTCATTTAGGTCAAGCATTTGTAAAACTTATTGTAATATTAGGAAGCATTTTTGCAGAAAATCTAAATAAATTCCGAGGAGATAGAAGTAACTGAGAAGTAACAAACCAGTGTCGAAAGAAAGAAAGAAATCCCACTCCAGTAACAAGATTCGAGTCGCACCCAAAAACAATTAGCAGACAGGAAACAAGTGCCCCGCGAGGCGATAAAATCAGCCGTATGCAAACAGAGGGAGCTCCCGTTTCCGGATCTCAAATTACTTCGGGTCCCTCTTTTGACCAGCACATAAAATTAGGTCACCGCGTTTCCCCATCCACAGGTTTTCTCCATGTCACCAATCTTGGATTCCAGTTCGAGCCTACATATCGACTTTTACAAATACAATTTCACCCACACCAGACGTACCAACAAATCTCAATGAGTTCACATCCCTATTATAATTAATCATAATTACTTTACAGACTCCAAAAAATAATAATAATAAAATAAAAAAAAACGTTACTTATTCCACCTACACATAGATCTCAAAGTCAAATATGAACAAAATTCACGCACATTACCACTTTTAATTTGTTAGAATTTTAAAATAACTAAGCTATTCAAGCTTACGTTTTCTCCCAAAAGGGATTAAACGACCTTTTAGAAGGATCGAGATTCTCCTCGAACCCTGTATTCAAGGTATTAATATAGGTACCGATACCCAATATATAAAGTGGATATTGGGCGAGCACATCTTAAGTGCCCTAGGGGATCGCATAAAAACCCCTAGAACGCATTAAGGCTTGAGACAAATTAAAATACGACACGCGGCTTTTGAGATCTCAAAAAACAATAACACAAGACAAAATTACATGTAAAGGTTATATAGATTTCCATGTCTCCTGTACACATAGCATAAATTCGCACTTGAGGATTAGGATCACGTTTCCGCCTAAGTGTCGCTACAGAAGAGACAAAAAATTTATAGGGCATAATTAAGCAATTAAGACATCTAAATCAGGGCATGTAGATACACAACGGGTTCAAACCAATATCTATTTTGTTTTTGTTTATATATTAACCATTTTCACTAATTTTTAAAATTAAAATTAAAATATTTAACCAATTTAGCAACTTATTCAATTAGTATCACTTATTTTAGCCATTTATCAACGAAGACACATTGGTTTTCGGTTAAACTTAAGACATTAAGTCATCCTTTATTTTTGAAAAACCTTTTTCATTTTTCCTTTTTTTTTAACGCAACAAAGCATTTTTCTTTTTTTTTTCACGCAACAAGGCATTTTTCTTTTTCAACCACGCCTTCACTTTGATTTCAGTCAACTATTTTTACTTTTATTTTTATTTTTGATTTCTAAAATTACCTCATGAAATTTCCTCGTTTTCTTTCCCGAACTCGAGCAAAAAGTAGTTAGGCATTTTTCTTTTACCAATGCAACAAAACATTTTTTTTTTCTCTTTTTCAACCAAACATTCAACTTTGATTTCATTCAACTATTTTTTTTTAATTTTTATTTTGATTTTTAAAATTACCTCACGAAATTTCCTCGTTTTCTTTCCCAATATCGAGCAAAAAATGTAGTTAGGCAATTTTTCCTTTTTTTATGTACCATAGTACTCAACATATGATGCACCTTTATAAAATTTTGATTTCTATTAACTATAGACCAACTATATAGCATTAACATTACATTTTTTTTAAATTCTCTTATATCCTTATCAATTTTGTATATAACCTCCCTATAATCAATTAATTTTCGCTCAAAATTATTTTTTTTGATGTACAGAACTTATTCAGACTAAAACCCCTTCATAAATTCTTCATATGTAGGGGGCGCATCTGTCATAATTTGTATAATTAGATGCCAACCTAATCCAAATATGTATGAAATGTATGATTTGTGTCAATAAAAAGAACAAAGGTAACAACTGGAGGATAGAAAGGACTAGAAAAAAAGGCTTAGAAAACCTGGGAGAAAGAGTTGGGTCAAGGCCAAGGTAGACGGTTGGATGTTGCAACATAGCAGACGGCCGTTAAAAAGTCTGTTAGAAGGTTCGTTAGGGGGCAGTCATCGAGTCGCTCCCATCGAGATAACACCTAGGGTTGTTCGTTCGCTCCCACCGAGTTCGGACCTAGTCTTTGACTCGCTCCCACCGAGATAGCACCTAAAGTCAATCACCGCCATGTGATCAGATAGTTAATAGTCAAAATCCGCTCCATCTTCTCAAAAGCCTTTCTTTCCTCCGACCAGTTGCCTTTTATTTAAACCTCATCACGTGTCCTGGTTATTCCCCACTGTATGCTTCACTTTCCACTCAAACGATTGCGCTTCAAACAATCTACACCATTCTCATCCAACAACAAGAAATTCCGCAACCAGATTGCGACATGTATGAAACAGGTTTATTATTAGTGTGTTTTCAATAATATTTGAAAATATAAACGTGTATTTTCTGTTAAAAAGATAGAAATGGTAATTAAATTTAATATTATTTAATATATTTATAATTTTCAACCAATCGTGAGCAAGAATGGGGAGAAATTCTGACGTCAGTGTTATCATTTCCTAGCGCCAAAATTTATATTTGATCCCAGCACATCTGGTGATTCCAGATGTTGTTTTTCTGCAATGAGTCCTAAATTTAAACTAAGCTGCCAATCATGGCTCGAATTTCGTCTAGGCCTAGCGTTCTTTGTCTAATTGTAGTTACATTCTTTAAAATTATAAAACACAGCATTAAATATACCAATCGATGAAGCTATAATATTGTAAATTAAAAATAACAGTTGTTGTATTTACCTAACTCCCACTTATCGTAATACCGTAAATCAAAGTATAAAGTATTAAATATAAATGTTTATTAAAACATACAAAAAATTAAACTTAAACTCACCAAGTTTTAGAAGCAGCATTAGATTTGTTTACTTACTACAGAGTGGATATTGGATGATTATTATCACTTTATATAATTCAAAACACAAACTTGCTTGTAAAATGCAAGTTTTTTTAAATATAAATAATTACCTAAAATAATTGTTCTGTGTACATTGAAAAATATTTTATTAGTCTCATTTCCCTGGGTATTGATTCTTATCTCAGAGGCCGCGTTCTACTTGACCCTAATGGCGTTTCACTATGTATATATTTTTAAATATAATAGAAGAAAATTATATACATAATTCGAGCCCCACGTTGGGCGCCATTGATGAAATCGAGAGCATTTCATATATTTTTTTGGGTATAATGGAAGAAGAAAATTATAAACATAATTATGCCCTGCTTTGGGCGTCATTTTTTTATTTTTAATCGTGAAGATTTTATACTTTTACTAACTATTTCCAGATCTCTACATGTCCAAATATTACGGCGCCAGTGGCTGCAGAAAAGCAGACCACAAATTTATTCATCTATGGCACATGTAGAGACCCGGCTAGCAATTAATGTTAAAAGGGAAATTAACCAATCAATTTTTTGGTTAGACAAATTTTTATTTAGACTAATAAAATCTTTCAATGTACATCACGCAGATATATATAAGATTCCATGGAAAAGGATAAAAAAACTATATAAGTTTAAAATTGGGAGGGGTTTAATAAACATATAAATGTAAACACACAAAAAAGGCCTATTATGCCATCATCCCCAGATTATCCCCACCTACCTTCAGCCACCCATGTCCATGATTTGAAAAAAAGGGGCAGCCAAGGCCGCAGCCAGCGGCCTCCGCCCTCCGCAACTCCAAGTCTTTTTTGTTTCTCAGGAAAAAAATCTAATTTTTGTTAAGAAAAAAAAAAGTAAAAATCCGAATGTCAATATAAAAAAAATGTAAAAAAATGTCCAAGAATGTAAATATCCCGCTTCCTTGTCCCAGTGTTGCTGAACTCACCCCCCAAGGCTATCATCCCTCTTTCTCTATGAAAATAAAAAAAATAAAAAAGGCATCTTAAAAAAATGATAAAAAAATAAATAAAAAATAAAATTATTAAAGAAATATATTCACAAAAAAAATACAAAAATATTGAATTAAAAATAATTTTAAAATATAAATATTATTGTTGATTCTGGGCATCTTGGGGTCAGCTTGGGAAAGGTTCAGGGCTCGTGGTGGAGCTGGTGCTCTGCATGAAGATGGTGGAGTCAGGTCAAGCACCATAGGTCGGTGGCTTGACTACAGGGAAGGGGTGTCTGAGTCCATCTTGGACTGGCTTGTGGTCAAGTCAGCCACCATCGGACATGTGGCTCGACCACCAGGAAGGGGTGTCTGAGTCCATCTCAGACTAGCTTGATGTTGGTGGGGCCAGGTCATCCACCACAGGTCAGGTGACTTGACCACCAGGAAGGGGTGTCTGAGTCCATCTCAGACTAGCTTGGTGTTGGTGGGGCCAGGTCATCCACCACAGGTCAGGTGGCTTGACTACAGGAAGGGGATCTCGGTCTCTGGCTTGGTGCTGCCAAGGCTAAAGGTGGCTTCAGGCTCCATCTCGACATCTCGCAATCACCAGAGGTTTGTGGCTTAGATGGACATAGGTGGGATATGGTTAGGTTAGGTGGGGTTCTGGGTTACTTTGGCATATTATGGTCACGAGGTGTCCCAACAGTACAAGCTTACTCCAGGGATGGTGTCTCGTTTGCTGACGTAAAGAACCACAGTTTGGGACAGGGTTTAACTCCTGTGTCAGTTCCTTGGTGATCTGGTTCCTCTTTTTGATATTCCTGACCAGGTAGAGGTGCAAACTCCCCCCACCCCCATTTCAGAATATAATAGTTAAGAAATACACACAAAAATTTTAATGCAGAAATATGAAAAAAGAAAGGAGAAAAAATGTGGAAAAAAAAGACAGTTTCAAGATTTTCTCATAAAAGATTACTTAAAGATAATGAAATTGGAAAACAAAGATTTTTCCCATCGCAGTAAGGACAGTAGAAATTGTTTTATTTTAAAAAGAATATTACGCCTCTAAAATAGTTTTATAAAAAGATTGTTAGATTTGAGCAAATATCAGAGGGAAAAAATATTTACAATTAATTTTGAGACAGACGATCAAAAAGCCCTACTGAAATGCTATTTAATTTAGGAAAAATCATCAGTAAACATATTTTTCAGTTTCTTTATAGGGATAAGGCGCTTGATCTCTTGATTATGTTATGGAAAGTTTAAGCGCTCTGAGATTAGGTTTTCATTTTAATATATTTTAGGCTTTTTAAAAATTCATATTCTTATCATTTACCTTCAAGAGTTCGACGTGTTCAAGTATATTGTTCTATTAATATATGAATTTAACAAACATTATTGGTACTTTTTGCAAAGTGAATTGATATTTCGCAAACGGCATCGGTATTATTATTTTTTATATATCTTGTTAAAATTCGCCGGCCACTCTGGGTATTTACAATTTTCAAGGTTTATCATCGAGATTTAAAATAAAACATTCATAAGCCTCAATTTTTCAGTACATTTTTTTAAAAATATCATATAACTAATATAAAGTGTGATAAGAGAAAATTGAAAAGTAGAAAAATTAATCACACAATTAAAAAGTAAGAACCTAAACTATTTTTTGCCTAACTATTAATTACTCGATGTTTTTTAAGACGAATATTTGTGCCAGCCTCTCCATACGTGGGCAATTAAAAAAAATAATATTAATATTTAAAAACAAAAATTTATATATATATAAATTTATGATTTCTATTTGGTATATAAAGAATTATTATGTGTGTGTAAATATTAATGTAATTATTTAGGATATTGAAGCAAATTATTAATTACTAGACGAATGGCCCGGGCAACGCCCAGGTTTTACCCGAGTGCGTATATATTTTTAAAACGTTTTAATTCAAATACTATTCGTTACAATTATAAATTGACGCCATGGATGTCACTCTTGTGAAAGGTCCTGTTCCAAACTGTGTGTTTTTAAAATGTTTTAATTAAAATACTATTCGTTACAATTATAAATTGGCGCCGTGGATGTCTCTCTTGTGAAACGTCCCGCCCCAAACTGTGTGTGTCTTGAAAATATAAAAATAAAAATGTGAATTTTCATAAAGATTTCATAATGTCAATTTTTTTTTTTTGCATTTCACCTACTAAATCGATAGAGATAATTACATTTGCAACATGAACTTAGGTATATTGACTAAATAGAAAACTGCATAGTAATAAAGATCATTTTTTAAAGGCACCATATCGTTTTTTTTTTTTCAATAAAATCGAAACAAAAAAAAAATCACAAAAAAATGACCCTATAACTTTCCGCAAGTTTTTTGAATGAACCCATATCATAAATATGCAATGAAAATAACAATTAAAAATTACTAAAGCAATTTTTAATTGTTATTTTCATTGCATATGTAGCCTAGTGGTCATGGCATCTGCCCGGTAAGCGGAAGGTCGTGGGTTCTATTCCCATCCCTTGACACTTTTTTTATTTTATCCATTCTGACCAAAATCTATCCGTGAACTTCACACAGACAGAATAAGGCAATTATATCAGTAGATTTTATAAACAGATTATTAATTTTGATAGTAGTAACATAAAGGTAACCAAGGCTCCTGGAGAGTATCTCCTTAGATCGCCAACTACCTGGATAATTTTGATATTTATATTTTGCTACTCCATAAACCAGC